CTTTACCATCAGGGGCATTATTCCCCACCCCCCACCCTCTTTATTGGGGTTGGGTTTCATACCCGCTGCAGCCCTCTCCCCATCAAAATTGTAATATTGGGGAGAAGGGGAGAGGTACCAGCGAAGAGTGCGGCTTAGAAGTCTCTCTCCTCCCCTTATGTAGTTAGTGTAGATTAGTTAGGTGAGGTTTAGTTAGGCTAACTTCAACGTCTTACCTAACAACAATCCAAGTCTGCTACTATTCACAAGCCCGCAGCTCATCACACCTGCCTCGATAGGCAAGGAGTTACAAGCCCGGGCACAGGGGGATCCTTGAAGGCCGTCCCGCGCCCCTGTAAGGAGACGCGACGACCCGATAGATTAGCTTCGGGTGCGCTCGTTGTCCATCTAGAACCAAAATCTCAATTTTATATTACAATAAATTGGATAGCATCTATTACGATATTAGTTAAGACTCGGATCATTCAAAACAAAAAAAAACTGTAGGGATCTAGAAACAATGTAATTGCAAAACTCTCGGCTTTACACGCCGTGTGATTCACGATCTTTGCTCCGGTAATTTCCATTGTGTACGCGTCTTAGTCAAAGAACTAGTTTAATGATTGTAATCACATTGGCATGTTCCTAAACAAAGACAAACTATCCTACAGACGATGTTTTTGATATAAATTTGGAATCAAATAAAAGTTTAATAAATAGTTTTGTAAACTTATGTAATGTTATGTAATGTATGCGGCGTTCAGTGATGTTTCACTAAGGTGTAGGTATTATTAAAACTAAATGAAATAATCGATGTTAGATATTACTATATTTGTAGTACACGCTGTACCAAAGTGAAAAGCTTAAGGCGTTCTCTTTCAGTCTATCTTGGGATGACCTAGCAACAAAAAAAAGAAATTTGATTTCATTATTACATTGTCTTAAAAAAGCAAATGATCTAGGTGGTTCCAGAGTCCATAGAAACCATAACATGATTTATGTCGCCCACCATGAGACATTATGTAAAATATGGATTCGTAAAAAATTCTTGAGCACTTACAGATTAGAGATGAAATATAAAGTGAGCTCTAAGTTAAAGTATCTTTATCAAATTGTCGTATGTGTACAAACATATTATTATTAAATAAACCGACTCGGTGGTGCAGTAGTTAGCGCCCCTGACTTTCGGCAGCGGGTCTTGGGTCGATTCCCACATCGAGTTTGCGCCACTTTGAGAAGGCGGCATGACATGAGAAAACTCTTGTCGCGGCCGCTGGAAACTACATACCCGATCCTGTAGACCGAATGGTAAACCAAAGCACGTCATTACGGATCCTCCTGATCCATTAACGGTACTTTTAGGTACCACAAGCACCGGTCACCATCCTCGTCGAACCCGTCGCTTGCGGCGAAGGGCTCACGAGCGAATTAACCCATAGACACAGCCCACTGAGTTTCTCGCCGGATCTTCTCAGTGGATCGCGTTTCCGATCCGGTGGTAGATTCTGCGAAGCACTGCTCTTGCTAGGGTCAGTGTTAGCGACACTCCGGTTTGAGCCCCGTGAGCTCACCTACACGTTAGGGTGAAGCTGAAATAGTTCTCAAGGCTATCAACATAGGTTAAAAAAAAAAAACATCGAGCAAACATTCGTGTGACAAACAGGTTTATTTGCTTTTTGTATGGGTATTAAATTTCTATTTATGTATATATTTAAAAGTATTTATATCGATTTCTGGTTCCCACAGTACAAGGGATCCCAGTTTTGGGCTAGGTGTATCTACATAATATAATATGTATAAAAATTGAATACCGATAAAACAGCATCGCAGCAGACTGATGACGTATATCCTAAAGATCTGATGCTCCTTGAATAAAGTAGAGATTGACTTTTTTAAGTAATTTAAGTTTTTTAAGTCCAGTTTTGACATTGGTGATACCGCGCCGTACAAATTGTTTCAATGGCCTAGTTCCTCTTGCTCTTCTTTAGTATGCCCATTAAATCAGAAGTTACAGATCGGACTCAATGTTCTAAGCTACTTGTGATACTCATAATCAATTAGTAATATTTGTAACTATCATCTCAATGTCCTTCCTTATTTCAAGTTCTCATCTCCTTAAATCCTATTATCAACTATGGTGGTATAGTTTCCAGCCCGTATGGACTGTCGCAAAGTATTAGACGTAAAAATTGGGTAGGCGTGATGGAAAAGCCATTGTTTCGATATTTTCTTCGACTCGACGTCTCGCGCTGTGGTGCGGCATTTATGTTGTCGTGTGTACGGAGCTCAGAATCCAAGTGAAATGAAAAAATTGAAAATACGTTAAGCAGATCGGTTGTAAATATTCGATTTATACTCACAATAGGCTAACTTTTATAGCGTTATTTACTTACTAAGAATAGACTGTTTGGACCATATAAGTTAATGTCGATGTACGTAATTTGCCCACTGATGACTGCTCCTTAAAACCACCTCTGAAGGTCGTAAAAATTTGACCCTATTAAGATAAGGTTATCTGCTATCGTTTTTTCAGAGCAATTTCCTAGGATATTCTCTTCTATGAGGTTTCAGTAAGTATCGTTCCCGCATAAATGTTAAATAGCAGCTAGGAGTTCTTATTTCACTGATACTTCAGTCTCCAACAAAGATTTTTGTTATATATCTACTTTGATAGCTTATATTATGTTAATTTATCGTTTTTTTTATATTTCCTATAGAAGTAAAAACCATCAATCGACCATATAAATAACGACTTGTTCTACATCCTACACTCAAGATTCCTCATTAGATTCCTGATTACCTTCCGGTTCAATCAACTTGAAAGTTTCACTCTCGATGGAATAGAAGAGATATTCTTCACTTTTTATTTAACTTTTAATCAAGACAAGTTAACCCGGTTAAATAAATAGCGTTTTCTTTTGCCTTGCAAGTATTAACTGAAAATAGGAAATGATTCAGGAGAGCCACATAAGCAGTTTTTTTGATTGATTGAAATTCGTTATCATTGTTTTGTTAACATTGAAACTAATATGTTTAGCTCTTGTTTTTTTTTTCTTATCAGTGATTTTTTTAATTACTTTAAAGATAGCTGCGTAGTTGTTATCTAAGTCCAAGTAAGCTTCAAGTAATTTGAAAATAGTTAATATACCGGTTCACCAAATATGTTTTGTATTACATTTATTACATTATTATTCTTTGTAAACATTTACCTTATGTTGAAAGATAAGTTTAAAACATGAACATTTATACAACATAACAAGTATAAAACACAATTTTTATTATATTATTTATCTCTATTATCTAATTTTATCGTTTATGAAGATTGAACATATTTTTAAAGTATATCTTCGTGGCCTAAAAGATAAGACGTCCGGTGCATTCGTATCTAGCGATGCAACGGTGTTCGAGTCCCGCAGGCGTGTATAAAATTTTCTAATGAAATACGTACTCAACAAATGTTCACGATTGACTTCCACAGTGAAGGAATAACATTGTGTAATAAAAATCAAACCCGCAAAATTATAATTTGCGTAATTACTGGTGGTAGGATCTCTTGTGAGTCCGCGCGGGTAGGTACCACCACCCTGCACATTTCTGCCGTGAAGCAGTAATGCGTTTCGGTTTGCAGGGTGAGGCAGCCGTCGTAACTATACTGAAACCTTATATTATAGAACCTTATATTATATATTATAGAACTTATATCTCAACGTGGGTGGCGCATTTACGTCGTAGATGTCTATGGGCTGCAGTAACCACTTAACACCAGGTGGGCTGTGAGCTCAACCACCCAACTAAGCAATAAAAAAAATATCTAAAAATCGGTCTTGATGCATCATATTTTGGCATGATTGTATTAAAACATTTTAAGCCCTAAAAGTATACAGTAACAACAAAAACTTCAATGTGAACACAAAAGTACACAATAAAAATCTTTTGTAATCATCCTTTAATAAATCATCCTGACATATTTTTAATGAACAGTGACGTATAAACGTGATGTAAAACTGGTTGGAGGACAGTTTAGAGTCCTAAGCTGAGTTACACTGTCAGTTTAATGTCTAGACTAGAACTGGGTTATTTCAATAATAACAGAACTGAAAAAACCATGCATTTTTCTTTTGATCTTCATGTATCTATCTTATCAACAGCACTTTTTAAATTTTTCTTCAAAAATGACTCATTCCATTTTTCGTTCCTTGGATTAAATTTGATTTATAACTTTGTAAACGAGTTTCAAACGATTAGAAATTCGAGAAAGATTTTTGTATACTGCATTTAAAACATTTAAAGACAGAAAGAAGGTACAATCAATTAGAAAATATCAATAAAATATAGTCGAGTGCAATAATAACACAGAATGCATTGTGTAAAATACCAAGTCATTTAAAGGCTATGTAATACTATAATAAATACGAAGGCAAATACATATTATTATGAATGTTGCATTGTAAACATATCTTTATATGTCTATTTTCAACCTGTATTGAATATCTAATACACATCTTCATGATTATGTTAAGTGAATTTTCGGTTTATTACTTTTTGGTTAGGTACACAAAATAAAGAATTTACAAAATCTAAATTAAACAGTTGCAATTAAAATGTAATTATTTCAACCTTGAAGTAGACGATGTATTTTAAATTTGGCGACTTCGATCGATTAGAGACATACTTTATGCCAAAGCAATTGTATTTCACTAAACAAAATTTTTAAAATCAATAATAAAAATTCGAATCTCTATATTTGAACACAGGCAAAGGAACGTTGCCCAAAACAGCTTTTCATTTCCAAAAGCTTAAAACAACTATGTTCTAATTGAAGTTGCTACTGTATTTTCTCCCCGATAATTATCGAAGATATATGAAGGTCTTACATAACTACTTCTAAGAACTTGCAGAATCGCTGTATACTTTAACTCATCACTTAGATGCTGATCTTGGTGCAGCAGATGATTCACAGCTGATGAGCGCGAAGGGTGTTGGCAGAAGTGTAAATGTTGTAGGCGAGCGGGGCGGGCGGGGCGCAGATTGAGGCCAGTATTTAACCGCACGACGGCCGCGCAACGACCTGTTGTGATCCCGTCATGGCGCGCTACGCCCGTGTCGCTACTCTGGCCGCGTGCCTCTTGTTCGCCTGCGGTGAGTCCTAACCTTAATCTAACGCATCCAGAAAACGACCATCTCGCTACGTCACAGGTCACGTGTGGTCACGGCTGCACATCAGCAAATTCAGTGATTACGTCAAAGCCTAGTGTCACAGTTAGTGAACAGTGAAGGTGTCCCGGACTCGACTGTCGCGAGATAGATCGTCTCTTTTAAATTTAACAATTCACAATCGGTTGTTGTCGCTTACATTGCCGACTAAAAGACATTAACGCATACTCGTTTCTACCTTTCAAGGATAGGCACTAACTAGTTATTGTGTTTTGAATGTCGCTTTTCGTATTGCGAACCTTACTCATGTGCAATTGTGTTGTGAAATACGCTCCCAGTAACGTTTTAAGCTTTCTTAGTAAATCTGGTTCACATTGTTATTGAGCAGTTACAGCAATAGGAAGACATGTAACTACTTAAGTAAATAAGTATACTCGTAATACTTTCAGTAACAGTCGTCGAGCATGTGGAACTTTCAATAAACAAAACAAATACTGCTGACGTTTTACAGTAGACACTGACCTTTAAGCTCTACGAAGCGAATAAGTGATGGTAGCCTTGATGACTATTTATTAATGGCATGTAATAATTGACGTTTTGTTAAACTACTGATCAGCACCTGTTGTGGTAGTGTTGTACTGTACTGATACTGTAGAGAACTTTCACATTCGTTCTGTATTGCGCTGTGGTTGAGCCGGTGACGTCACACCACAATGTCGAAGGTATATCGACACCAGCCGTTTCCAAGCGCACTCTTAGGCACAATCATGATAGAACATCAACTATGTTTGGGGCTCAAATCTAAAATAGACCTTATATTAAAGTGCACTCAGAACTATGAAACTGCATATTAAATGAATGAAATGAAACTTTGAATTCCAATTAATTTTATGGTTCGGCATTTCATGATAGACATTGTGAAAATTACACTCAAGAAACATTATTCGTTACCTCAGTAATAATTAAAAATATTTCAATGCAGCAAATTATGCATGTCTGACAAATGCGTTTTGTAACTTCAATTAACCGCAAAATTCCAATATTTATGGATTTATATTTTGCAATATGCATAAATAAGCGTCATGAGCGGCGTATTAAGCGCCACAGTAAAAACAACGACATAAAAATCTAATTTTAGATTTCGTCACTACACTACAGACGAAATTGCACTATCACCGAAGATGAAGCTTTTAATGTTTAAGAATAAAATTTTACTTGAATTATATTTAAGTATGAGTATCCATTGTAATTGTAATATGTAAATTTGTTCAATAAAATTCATTATGTTATTATGGAGAGCTCAGTGTTACTCGAGGTCTGTGGGTCAAATAGTTATGAAACTCGGTCCACGTGACAGACGCATAGACAGGCTCCTGATATCTCGGACGCCGTGTTGAAATAATTACATTGAAACTTATTTATGGGCTGAAATAATTTGATACAAGCATACGATCGCTATTCACATGTGCAAATAGGGGCTCACTTCACTGTATTGTGTTGGTCTTAATTGCGTAAAATTAAAGTATTTTATGTATAACTCTGTTAACATTTGTAGGCAAAAATAATCATAACGTATCCGGTAGTTTTATCTGTGAGGTTTGGTCGAACAAGCGACTGGACTTCCACAGAAGAATTTCAAAAATGGGTGATTTAAAAATTCAAGTTTGCTTAGGATAGCTTGTTAACTTTCCTACCATTTCTATAAACTTTTGAAACTTATATTTAAGATGTTCAACGTCTTCGCAGAATATTGCGAGTCATGAGAGATAATAGATAAAATTTTCATTCAAATTAATTTGGGACAAAAGTTGAATACTACACAAACATTTAAAATCGAAAGCAAAGTTGCATTGAGTCAAACGAGATTTTTAAAGGCAAAATCTGTAAATTTGGTGGACAATTTTTATAATCTACTCAAATCCCTATTTTGATCATTTAGTTTCATCTAAAATCACCAGATTGAAACCGTTGTAGCTACCATTAAAAAATAATAAACTAGTTACTTTCCACACAAAATGCATGTATATACATAATTGATTGGCACTAAACACACAATTTTAGTTTGTGTGCCTTAAAGCTTGATCTTGACCTTAACATATAAGAAGGTGTAAATTGGAAATTCGATAAAATTGTATAAATAACATTTATGTTCGGATACCACATTCTTAAATGAAGGATTGGACAGCTTCAGTCTTTTTAGGCAGGCTGAAGATACCCCTGCAGTGGTACAGTATCTATGGTAACAACCATATAAAATTACCAAATATTCGATCGTTTATCTTTGCATACATTTTAGGTAGATGCATAATTATAGTGTGGATTCACAATGCAAACAGGTTCCTTGTTTACGCAATTACGCAAATTTATTTCGTCTTAATGCTGTTATTGATCAATTTTATCACAATATTCACAGCACAATGCGACTACATGAATGTTTGTCTACAATATTGAAAGACAGTATTATTAAATATGATTTTATAAAATGTTCCTTTCAGTAATCCCTTCTAAATGTTTTAAAAAATACGATCCAAATTGAAAACATGTTGAGTAGAACTTTAAAAGAGCATATTACAACTACAAGGCACGTTAAAAAATGATCAATAAACTTAATTTTTTCAGACTATCTAGTTTTGCTCTTCACTTAAGTGGATAACATTCCCAATTTGAATTTTTATGTCATTTGTCTACAGAACTTTAAAAAAAGGACCTTAGTAAAAATAAATCATAATTCATAATTTAAATAAACCGTACATGTGTAATTAGGCTTAGATGTTTATATTAAAAGTTGATGTCCTTCACAATCACGGATTCACGAAGAGCCTTATTTTTATTGTTTTAGAGTGGCAGATGAGTTCGGCTCACCCGGTCTTAAGTAGTTTACAGAAGCACATAGATACATATATGAGATATGAGGTCGAAGTTAAAATAAAAAAATATACTTGTTTCATTTGGAATGTTTATTTTAAAAGGTTTTTATATTATTAATAAAACTCGCAATGAACTATGTAAATAAGATGCATTTAAGAGAAAAGTGACACTCAAATGTTGTATTCTAAGTTCATTTTACTTTCTCTATTTCGAATGTTAAGTGAAGTGAAAATTTTTGAATTCTTTAGAAACTTTATGAAAGTTGATGGGTTCTATTAATCTTGCCTGTTTATCATACACATTGATGATGTCGGAATATGTCAACGTTAAAGGTTAAATTTATTAAATTCTAGAAACTTCTGTTAATTATGCGTTTATTATTCCTGTTTATAACACAATAATAAATGGGCTGCTTTTCTGCGTATTGGTCGGAATTTTAAATCCTACCACTCAACTCTTTAAGAAAATTTGTAAGCCAACATTATAGAAAACTAAATTCTAGCAAATCGTACACAGATAAATAGATTTACTCAAAATATCGGGCACCCTGCACTTTCATTGACTTTAAGCTTGTAAAGTAATAAATAATTTATTTTTCGAAACAAAATACCACCACATTTCACTCCGTGAACCAACAAGTATATTTTTCTTAAAACTTACATCGGTTTTTTGTATCTTTCCTACGTGAAAGAAAGACAAACGAACTAACAAACACTCACATTTTCAATATAACATTCAAATTCACATCACAGCAACACAGCTTCAGATTTCAACGAGACAAGGAAATCTGGACGTAATTTACATTTTTGTATTAATTATAAACTTGTATAATTATAATGTATAAATATATAGCCAAGGTGATTGTCAAGTATTTCCGCATGCGGAAACACCGGTCTCCCGTTATCGAGACTCGAGTTAAGGGGAGCGCCACTGTTGAAGGAAAGTCGAGCGGCGACGACTTAATATTCATAAGGTCGCACTTCGGCATTCCATAGAAGCACTCGGTCGACGCCCGCGACTACCAGCATACTTAACAGTACCAATAATCAATTTAAAATAAAATCGTCCGGCACGCGCGTCTTTTCAACGCTGTTCCTACTGAAATAGAAAACCGTAAATTATATTGTCAATATTATGTTGACATAACGTAACTATTTTCTCGTTATGTTAAAATGATACTTTAAAAAACTATCAATAATTATGATAGAATAACTGTGTTATTTTATTTTTAGACCGAATGAAAAAGTAACGTAATTCATTACTTTTGTTAGTACAAAAGACTTCAACGCACGATGTGCTACGAAATTGGTGTTCGTCTTAAAATAAAGTTATTTAACTTTGTTTTGTTTTGTTTCGACGCAGATTTATGTAATTCTTGGGAATAAATAGTTAATTATCGAAACAAGGGCGGCTTTGCGTACTAGCTTAGCTGTAACTATTCAAAATCTTGATAGATCCGGGTCAAAGGAAACTGGTTTTCCTTTTATTATTCAATCGAGTAACAAATAAATATTAATTTCTATGCCACGTTCAAGCTGTAGTTCGATTATCAATTCGTTTTCTTTAAATAATAAATTTATTAATAATATTTTAACAATACACCTCATCAATTAATAATATTGTCGCTTACCGGTTAGAAACGACACACCTGAATTTCGATTTCTATCAGACTTTATTATAAAAATTAACATATTTTATTTAAATTTTATATTAACATTGAGACTTTTAACAACGTTATTTTTTTATATATTGACCTTGACCTCTTCTCGTATTGATTTGTATAATAGTATACTATTTTATTATTATTTTCTGACACTAAATTATAGACACACAAGAACAAACGGCTTATACTCTCAAGCCATTAACGTCTTAAATACACTGTTAAATTGGTTATAAATCATGAACATGTTTGAGCACGTAATTTACATTTCGTGGACCGTATGCTCGTTTTTTCTTTGAAGATACATAATAGAATTTGTATTTCAAAAAAACATAATATTGTAGTTTTTACAAAATTTACCCGAACGTACATTGTAAGATGAAGACTCTACGAGTACATGCCATATGAGGCCGTCAGCGCAAAAGTGGCCTAGCCCACAATTTTTCATAATCATGCTTATATGTATATTTCAATTTTTTTTTAATTTAATAAATTGTGATGCAAAACCAAATCCATAGTTTCACCCATAGATAACAGATGGTTTTGTAAACATTATTTTTGCGCGTCATGTTTTTTAAAATTCAAATTCATAAAAACTTAAACTTCATTGCTTCATAATAACTATGGTAAGCTTAGGCCACTTTTGCGCCGACGACCTCATATATATACCTATCTATCAGTCTATTATCTAAATAACATTGCAATTTCGATTAAGAATCTGATATAAAAGTAAAATTACATCCCAGATTGCATTACGAATATAAACAGATAGTTCATACAAAAGTTAATTCAGAATCAAGTAAATGACGTTAAAAACCACACAATCTCGGTTTCACTTCCCTTGACGTGGCTCCCCCGTCTGTTCGATAGCCCGGTGTTGCAAGCGCAACAATAAAAACGATTGATAGCAGTAGAGTATATTTTCTCTTGTAACATTTTGCAACAAGTATCGACACAAACAACAAGCTGAGAACAATGCGTGCGGGCACATTAGTTGCGCACACGTGAACCCGCTCGAATGCAGAATGCATTACTACAGGTATTGCGTTATTATAATGCTCAATTCAGGCATTTGTTTATGAAACATTTATAATAATTTTCACTTTGAGTTCAGTAAATTACACATGTTATATAACGAATCATAACAATAAAACGTACGATTAATTGGAATCGAATCCATCGATGGATTCTACCGTCTCGATTATAATTGTTAAAGCGCCTAGGTCGCATTTAGATTAATATAAATATTTCACACTTCGAAATTTTATATTATGAGTATAAACAAAAGTAGATTACAAACAGATTATCATTTTGATTTTATTTATATACGCGTTTTACCACTTTTTTTATTGTCCGTGTAGCCAGTCTAGCATACGGCCCACATGATGGTGAGTGGTTACCGTCGCCCATGGACTTCAGCAATGCCAGGGACAGAGCCAAGCCGCTGCCTACCGCGCCACATACATACAATTATACGCAAAAAGTCTATCGAAACGATTTTATGTTTCGAATGTGCTAGTTAGATAACTTTGCGGTCGGTTTCCTCGTATTACATGTTCATACTATACGTTCACATTAATGCAATCATCCCTCATTTAACTATATGGTTAAAATTACTTATTAAACGACTCTATTATAACACTTTATGTTTTAAGGCATGTTGTGAGCTAATATAGTTTTGAAGGGTGAGATGACCGTTATTCACGTATGGTCACATTATTATGTCTACGTTAACTTAACAAAAATACCTATTTTTGGTTATTTTAGCTTCACAGCTCATAATAAATTATAATAAGAATATTAGTTTGTAAAGATATAGAAATAAAACTAGTTGAAACTTCAATTCCTTCAAATTAACAAACCTAAATGACTCAAGGAAATCATCTATTCCGAAATCTAAGAATTTTAATAATTTCATCAGCATAATCGACATACAAATGCCATGCATAATGTACATTATGCGGAATAGACAGAAGACATAGAAAGAATCGTCCTTGTTTCTTACTCAAGAGCTGACATTTCGAAGCGAGTCAAATGTCATGAGCGCTCACCTAGCCTTTGACATTTAAGTATTATATACTCAGACTTCCAATTGACATTTTAATCATGAATACAAAAAATGCAATATAATAAATTAATATTCTATAAGATTGCTGATTCAAGCTAGTATTCACGGTTATCTTATTATATTATTATAATGTGAATGCCTTTGGCCAGTTTGTAACGATATATTTCCTTTGTTTAGTCACTGAACATAACAATGTCTGTTACATGACTTCCGAGTATTAATAATTATCTATGTACAGCGCTTGCTGATGGTCACCGATGGCGGCGACAAGCTGACGAGACGGCAAAGAAAGATGAAAGCTTGGAACAAGAACTATGCAAGGACAAGGACGCCGGCGAATGGTTCCGGCTGGTGGCCGGCGAGGGCGACAACTGTCGCGACGTCATCCAGTGTACTGCCTCGGTACGTGTTCTTCTTATTATAAACATGGAACTTGATAATGCGTTCTCTTATGAAGAGCTTTGTTCGTTACTTCCACGCTTACAATATTACTATAGTGTACAAATTCTTGTTAATTTCTTGTAGTTAATCTCGCTATATTATAATTAAAAATGCATCCGTGATGCCTGAGTTATACTAAAAGACAATAAAAACATCACATCCGCATACATGTGTGAAAGAGAAGCTAAAGTCGAACAGTAGAATAAAAACATTTATCTTAGTATTCAAACTAAAGTCAGATTCGAAGTTTGGCTTTTAAAGATCTCGTCCTTGCCACACCATCCTGATATTTATAATCGATAGTTGCACAATCTCTGTCGAATGTTTACTGTGCCACATTCTTGTATTATATCTAGGTTATATGTACATATATATTTACATCTCGTTTTTAAGACAAGTTAGACCTGACTTTCCAATGTATTGTGCAATCAGCTCTTAAGGTGTAAATGATGGTTAAATAGCTGAACGTTTTTTTCTTCATACATAACAGGGAATACAAGCTATACGTTGCCCGGCCGGTTTGTTCTTCGATATTGAGAAACAGACCTGCGATTGGAAAGATGCTGTGAAAAATTGTAAGCTCAAGAACAAGGAGCGTAAAATAAAGCCTCTCTTGTACACTGAAGAACCACTCTGTCAAGACGGCTTCCTCGCTTGCGGCGACTCTACTTGCATTGAACGCGGTCTTTTCTGTAACGGCGAAAAGGACTGTGGCGATGGATCTGATGAAAATTCTTGTGGTACGCATGCTTTCAGATCTAAAACATACTCTAAATCACATTAACACATGACACACTTAATACTTCTTTGCAAGTTGGTATCCACATCTCAATGACTATTTACTATTGTTACCCCGGTTTCTTCAGTAAATCAATTAGGCCTCTAATATTGCTTGTGATCCATTAAAATTAAATAAACATTCACGTTTAAAATCAATTTTGTATAACGATACGATTTTATTATTAATTTGAAAAGTACTCGGTAACTGACCCCATATGAATTGTTAGTCAGTATGCGGTGAACACCTTCATGGACGATTCGAACATCGTGATTCCTCGCATTGGTGTACGAATGGAATTCACTCTGAATTGTAATTATGTACATGACCAGGATACAAAAATCCATTCACTAGTTACAAAGACCGCGGACTGTTGGTATAAAATCACGAAGCTTACGAATGGAATATGTTAAGTTGTGATAAAAAACCAAACAAAACTTGTTTGCACTTAAGCTGTGTCTGCTTGGTTTGAATTTCAGATTGAATAATTGAAAGAAATAAAAAATGCTCATATGACGTAGTGTGACATTTTAGGCTCATATTTTACATAAAAAGTAAATATTTAATATACATGTATTAAATCAAAAGTGAAATCCAAATAATGTCAGCTGCACGGCATGAAATGAACGAGCGAAAGTACCCATACTAGTTCCGATAGTCAGCTTGTTCGAGACCGCTCTCCGTAACAACAACCGCCGCCGGTTCTAATGCAGAATGTCCCACAATTCAATATTATATAAGCATACGTGATCATCGCTGCAAATAGACTTCGTTCAACTAGTGTTAAGAAATCAATAGTAACATGATAAATTTGGGCCCTATAACTTAAAATTGGTATATTTTTCTCGTAGATATTGACAACGACCCAAATAGAGCTCCGCCATGCGATTCCTCGCAGTGTGTCCTTCCTGACTGCTTCTGCTCCGAGGACGGCACAGTGATCCCCGGCGACTTACCCGCCAGAGATGTCCCTCAAATGATCACTATCACCTTCGATGATGCGATTAACAATAACAACATTGAATTGTACAAAGAGATATTTAACGGCAAGCGCAAAAACCCGAACGGTTGCGATATCAAAGCCACTTATTTTGTCTCGCACAAGTACACTAACTATTCTGCCGTCCAAGAAACTCACCGCAAGGGTCACGAAATCGCAGTTCATTCTATTACGTGAGTAGTTTTTAAATTTCAGGAAACACGGAATGCGTAAAAAGTGTTTTTTTTATATTGTAATGTATATTGACTGTTGATTTTCTTCTCAGGCACAATGACGATGAACGTTTTTGGAGCAACGCTACTGTCGATGATTGGGGCAAGGAAATGGCCGGTATGAGAGTTATTATTGAAAAATACTCTAACATTACTGACAACAGCGTTGTAGGAGTTCGCGCACCTTATCTACGTGTAGGTGGCAATAATCAGTTCACCATGATGGAAGAACAGGCATTCTTATACGACAGCACTATTACAGCACCTTTATCAAACCCCCCTCTTTGGCCTTACACCATGTACTTTAGGATGCCCCACCGATGCCACGGAAACCTTCAGAGTTGCCCAACCAGGAGCCACGCAGTATGGGAAATGGTAATGAACGAGCTTGACAGACGTGAGGACCCAAGCAACGACGAATATTTACCCGGATGTGCCATGGTAGATTCTTGCTCTAACATTCTTACCGGTGATCAATTTTATAACTTCCTCAACCACAACTTTGACCGTCATTACGAACAGAACCGAGCACCTTTAGGACTTTATTTCCATGCAGCTTGGTTGAAAAACAACCCTGAATTTTTGGAAGCTTTCTTGTATTGGATAGACGAGATCCTTCAAAGCCACAACGACGTTTACTTCGTTACCATGACACAAGTGATCCAATGGGTACAAAACCCACGTACCGTGACTGAAGCCAAGAACTTCGAGCCGTGGAGAGAAAAGTGCTCCGTCGAAGGAAACCCTGCATGCTGGGTACCTCATTCCTGCAAGCTCACTTCAAAGGAAGTTCCTGGAGAAACCATCAATTTACAAACTTGTTTGAGATGCCCAGTCAACTACCCCTGGTTAAACGACCCCACGGGCGATGGCCACTATTAAGGAGCCATGATCTCGAGCCCCACGTGCTCTATTAGTTGATATTGATTTGGTGTAGTAGTTGCTCGAAATACATAATAGTAGGTAATGTAACTAAAGCAATTTTATCTGACGAATATGTTTTCGAGTAAGTTCAAAGTGTACCGGGTCATAATCCCGCCCGTAGTCTAAGTACCTATCCTATTGTATGTAATATAGGCTCACATGAATATTTAATAGGTCTGTTTTATACTTTATGTGATTTTCTACTGTAAGTCTGTTTAATAAATTAAAAATACAAAACAAATTATTTCCGCTATTTTATTTACAATACAACCTTTTATGATCAATAATTGTAAACTGAAAACAATTCAGTATTAACTCGATTAGTGATTTAATGTTTTCAAACATGAGATCAAAATTAAGGCAATATGCTCTTTAATAATTTACGACATAACACAATGAAGGCAGATATAAATAAATACAAAAAGGCTTGTTTCAAACATACGCTAAAAATGCTCTATAAAACACCTAATTAAAAGATTTAAAAATCAAGTCAGTTGATATTATTTATTACTGATTTTTTAAGAAATCAAAGGGCATAACATAAATTTAAGATTGAAAAACACTAGGGTACTGTAGCAGTGGATGAGCGCTATTGTTGTCAATTTCATGCATAGCGTCAGTTCTATTCTCAAATCTTAATCATGCTACAAACAATTACATTTAGATAATTACTGATGTGCCGTGAAGCAGTAATGCGTTTCGGTTCAAAGGGTGAGGCAACCATTGCACTGTAAAAATAAAGACCTTAAAACTCCTGTCTCGAGGTGGGTGGCGGCATTTACGTTGTAGATGTCTGTCGGCTTCGGTAACCACTTAAACCCCAGGCCTCAACCGTGTGCTCATCCACCCATCTGAGTAATAAAAAATATTGCAGTTCAAATATATACCTACAATTCATACATACATACGTAAATATAGCTATTGATGTTCGTCCATCACTTCTATAATATATTATGGAAACTTCTACAACTATGGAACGATTCAATACGGTAATCTTTCATCGCTGTAGGCAAACAAGCTCATAGGTCGTCTCTTGTGAAGGGGTTATCTCAGACCTTGGACTTCACTAAGTTAATAAAGCACCTTTGTAAGCATACGAACCGAAAGAACGATTCCATCTCGACGGATCAGGGCTCAATCGTCTGGGCTCATCTTAATCAAAAAATATTTAGCAAATTTACAAATTAGATAAAAATTACAAATATGCAGAAATCCATAAAGATGAACTAACGTAACACTAAAGTGCCTAAAAAAACGTAACAATAACATTTTATGAATATGATTAAAACGTAAATGTCAAGTAATTAAATACCTTATTCCTTTAATTTTCTCTTCTACGTGCGATTTGCACGAAGGGTTAGACCTTTTGTTATAATTTGTTTAAGCAATTTTCAACCGTCTTAACATTATATGTATATACAGTCTATATGCTATACTGTGGACGATGTGGCGACGCGTCACCATGCGCAAGCGACTGTTTCTTAATATTAATATTTGATTTTTCATTAAGCAATATGAATTTCCTGTCGTAAACTATCCTTTTATGCATCTATACCTGTACAAAATAATGTCAATGTTTCTTTCACATCTGCCAGCCTTCCGGCGATGGCCAATTTTTTTTATATTCAACCATTGCAACAAGCAAACATTCAACGAAAATTAATATTTTAAATGTGAACAAGTGAAACTTATTGTATTAATGAATAATGGTTTACCTTTTTAATAGATTTTATTGGTTTGACTCTTAAAAACTATCTATCTATAAAAAAACTAAAATTGTAATTTTCTACAGCTTCAGGACATCTGCTTAACTTGAAAATTTGCACACATAGCAAGGACCAACAACAATACAATAATTTAAATGATAAAACTGATTTCTAATCAATACCTAATTTAATCGTATTATTTTAATAAGAATCTTTTGACAAATTTGACTGATATCTCCAAAATAAAATAATTTATCTTAAAACGAAATGTTGTTTATTCTCTCGTACATGAGCATACTTATAGGGGTCTCTACACCAATATAAAGTCATTAGCCTCTCTTTCAATGCTCTTTTTCCTGCATACACTTTGTACAAGATCTAACAATCACCTACACATAAACGTCGCAATAATATCTGACAAAAGTACCGTTTCCGTTGAGTCTTTTGACCACAAGCAAACTGGTTTCAGTACAAATGGATTTTGTATTTGCTTGACACGAATGGTGCCAATATGGTTTTACATGCAATATATATAACACATTCATACTACAAGGAAAACACTACGAAATATTAACAGAACGGTCTCCGAAATATGCATAAATACAATATTCAAGCCATTGTTAAAAACTAATATTAAGCTTTATGAGTCGTCTATTATCAAAGGTGGCAATCTGTGCATTTGGACAAAAAAATGTTATTGATATGTCAATACAGATTGATTTGAATATAATCGTCTCCTTCAAAGAATACGGTTCAAAACCTGCATTAAATAAAGGTTAATAGTTAACCTGTTATTTATCTAAGATGTCGTTCAGAAGAGTTTTGTGACTGCCAATGGAATACAAAGTTAATAATTCGTTTTTCTGATTTACCAATAATTGTCCAAAAGTCACATTGCCGGCTTTGATAATAGTCGACTCTTATAACAGGTTAAGTAGTTTTGCCTAATCTCAAAGGAGGATCTTAGATAGCTTTAAGTTTAAGCTGTAGTACTTTGAAAAAAATCTACTTATGTACTGTATTTAACAGTGCGTTAAAAAATTACTAAGATGCATAAATCAATACTTAACTTGATCGCAAAAACTAGGACCGTTACAATTTCCGTTACTTTAGTAAGAAATGTAATTTGACAACCGTTACTAAATAACTGAAGATTTTATTTTTAAATATTGACTATGCTAAGATTGATGCATTCCCATCAGACACCTCCTCAACAGAGTTGACAGTGATACAATTGACGCATGTCAGAAGAACGCATGATTGCGTGACGACCGTGGAACAATAGACTGCGGGCGCCACCAACACATTATCTCCTCTGACATCAGTGGGTGGTTGCATTGCACATCATCATCATTCGCCATCTATGTATGTACGTATCCTCGACGCCATTATCAACTTTCCAATTTGTTTCGCAATTCTTGAATGTTATTGAACCAGAAAATAAGGACAATGAAAAAACTACAGTATTGTTAGCAGCATCTAAATAAATAGAGAGTCGAAAATACATTCGATGCAAACATTAGGTATGGTAGTGTGAAGAGGCGCAGTGCAGCCAGCGACAGTGAAAGCAGTGAAAGTCCTCTGTGGCAGCGCAATCAAAAAACTCTTTGTTAACACTTATTACGAGATTTTGTCTATGCATCAGCATGAATTCCATAATAATCTTTGATATATTATTCTTAAAAAGCTTCAAAGGATTCACACAACTTGGCTAAAAAGTCAAGTCGAACTTTATAATTTTCTAAGCTTTTAAAACATATAATTTCCAATAGTTACAAAACATTAGACATACAAATTTAATTCAAGAACCCGTTGAATAAACAAATATTTAAGATAAAAAATAAGACGGCAAATAAAATACATTTTAAATTGAGATGATTAAAATTCATCAAACGTGAATGCAAGACGTTCTTTTGCCTACTAGCATTAATAGTCCGAGACCTCTCACAATATTTGTAATTCTTAAAACCTACATAATTTCAAGGCTATGTTCGAGACACGAGTTATTTTTGTTCTATACCAATTTATCTTATTGCCTCTAACAAAGGTAGTACCTACTCACTTTTCTGACATAACAAGTAACATTGATAGGCCAGTTAACATGGTATTTCACAAATACGAGTCATAAATAGTTGAAAAGTTAATCCGTATTTTTTATGAAAAGTTTTAAGACATCCCTGCAGGATACAAATGTGAGGCGTAACGAGTTTCGTCTCTTGCGCAAGGCTTTCTGCGAAATCAACAAAAGAAAAAAAATCTTCGTGGCTAAATTTATACATGCGATTCTAAATCGGGCTGTTCTGTGCATTACCGCCTGATTTTAAAATTTAATATACTTTTTATAACTATGGAATGTATGTAACGAAAACACGATCCAGAAATTCTTCATTTTCATTATTTAAGTTACTGATCACTATATTTTGAGAGCACAAATACAAAATTTTATAGTGCTTGAAATAATTTTAAAAACAATATAAATAAATTCATACCAACGTTTTAATTATTATTGTATTTCCCTTCGAAAAGCGGTTTTATTATTGCGAAATTGATATCCAAATAAGACAACATCATTTATTCAAACCGGTAACTAAGACTTGGTATTTGACCTTCGCAGAATTTACAATAATATACCTTTACCTACGTTATAGTGACGTAGGCAGTATTTATAAAATCTAATAGGTAAGTACTATACCATTATTGCACAGAATGCAGATATATATCGCCTATAGATACGTAAACATGGTAGACGAATATATACAGCTAGATGTCTATATACATAATAAATATATGAATTGTCACAAGTGAAAGGAAATATCTTGTAGAATCCTTGACTCGCGCGCGCCTACTTGACAAGCTGCGCCACGGCGACGACTTGACGCCGATACACCTCGACGGATTCAACTGACAGTGTACTAAGAAAGTATATAATTAATTAGGTATTCATTATAATAAGGCCCGCGAATGTAAGATGTTCAATAACATTTTGGAATGGGACACTGCATTCCAATTTTAAAATCGAAATTAATGGATAGAGTTTTTTTGTTAAGTTTTTAAATAATTGATTATATTTTCATGTGAACAGGAAATTCAAAAAATTTCATAACAATCTCGCAAATCTTGACAAATTCGGCACGTCTGGCCATTCAGGTCAAATGCATACGTAACGACCGCATCAACAAGCACTTGATAGTTTAAATGTTAAATCTTCACCACATTGCGCAACTTTATAATGTACACCTATCTATACTATTATAATATTGAAAGTATAAAGGAATATCGTTTAGTCCGTTGTACTCAACGTCTAAGCAACATCTTCATAAAATATAAATTTACTAATAATCTAATAGGCTTATAATAAACGTAGTTATTTAGATCAATGTGCAATTAAATAAGTAAAAGATACCTTAAATTTTCCGTTAAATTATATTTGGGATTGAGAATACAAACATAAATTATAACCTCAGCTAAATCGGTCATTTGTTGAAGTTTTTACATTCTTGCTTCAATAAAATGCCATAATATTCCAACAACGTATTGA